TTGGGAACCACTGCTTTAAAATGAGGTTCAGAGTCTTTAATATTTTTCTGAAGACCAGAAGGGATGCGGCCTGCCTGATGTCACTGGGGAGGGAGTTCCATCACCTGGAAGCCACCACTGAGAAGGCCCTGTCTCTCATCCCCACCAAACATGCTTGCCAATAAATAATAATAATAATAATAATAATAATAATAATAATAATAATAAACTTTATTTGTACCTCGCTCCATCTCCCCAGTGGGGACTCGGTGTGGCTTACATGAGGCCAAGCCCAAAACAACAATTACATGAAATAAAACAAAACCGAAAATGCAAATAATAAACATAACGCAATTACATAAAACAAAAGACAACATAGCTATATAGAATTACAATAAACACAATAAACACAATCACAGTAACATGGGCGAGCTACATGTAATGGATAAAAGAAAATTGGGTAGAAACAGATTAAAAACTCAGGTGAGATAAACACAAGATAAACAAGGACAGATTATTTGTGGAGGAGAGCTCGTTTTAGTGGAGGTCGTGGAGCAAAACTTTCCTATGGGGGGAATGCACCCCAATAACAAAAACAGTTAAACTAAACACTAGTATGAGGATGCCAAGGGAGTGGGATCAAGAGCAGGGCCTCCCCAGGCCATCTTAAAGCACTTATTGGCTCGTAGAAAGAGATGTGTCCAAACAGGTAAATTGGACCAGAACTGTTTAGGACAGGTGTCCTCAAACTAAGGCCCAGGGGCTGGATACAGCCCTCCAAGGTCATTTACTCGGCCCTCGCTCAGGGTCAACCTAAGTCTGAACCAACTTGAAAGCACACAATAACAACAACAATTTTATCTCATCAGCCAAAAGCAGACCCACACTTCCCATTGAAATACTAAGTTTATATTTTTTTTAAAAAAAATTGTTCATTTTAAGTATTGTATTGTTTTAAGTGTTGTTTGCACTACAAATATGACATGTGCAGTGTGCATAGTAATTCATTCATGTTTGTTTTTTTCAAATTATAATCAGGCCTTCCAAGAATTTGAGGGACTGTGACCTGGCCCTCTGTTTAAAAGGTTTGAGGACTCCTGGTTTAAGGCTTTATAGGTCAAGACTAGCACTTTGAATTGGGCTTGGTAGCAAATTGGCAGTGAGAGAAGGGTGATCTCATAGAATCATAGAATCATAGAATCAAAGAGTTGGAAGAGACCTCATGGGCCATCCAGTCCAACCCCCTGCCAAGAAGCAGGAATATTGCATTCAAATCACCCCTGATAAATGGCCATCCAGCCTCTGCTTAAAAGCCTCCAAAGAAGGAGCCTCCACCACACTCCGGGGCAGAGAGTTCCACTGCTGAACGGCTCTCACAGTCAGGAAGTTCTTCCTCCTGTTCAGATGGAATCTCCTCTCTTGTAGTTTGAAGCCATTGTTTCGTGTCCTAGTCTCCAGGGAAGCAGAAAACAAGCTTGCTCCCTCCTCCCTGTGGCTTCCTCTCACATATTTATACATGGCTATCATATCTCCTCTCAGCCTTCTCTTCTTCAGTCTAAACATGCCCAGCTCCTTAAGCCACTCCTCATAGGGCTTGTTCTCCAGACTTGCATCCTCCTGGATCGAATTGGCACTTTGGTTCCCATGGGCCAGGGAACATTTATCACCCCTGTTTTTGTTGTTTTCCCAGTGGTCTTCCCAAACTGCCAAAGAGGCACATGAACATCTTGGGTTGCAGTTAGAATTTTCTGTGCTAGAGAACCACCTCTGCGAAAATTCTCCGTTTGGCAAACATGGCTCTCCTTGGGAGCCTTTGATGAGCATTTGATGCACGCCTTTCCCAACTGCTTCCACCCTTCTTTCCTTTGAAAACAAGGCAACGCACACTGAATGAATCATGCCCAGGGAAAGGGGAAGAGAGCGAGAGGAGGAGACTCTTCTCCAGGTCGGCTCCAGAGGAAGAGCCAGGCAAGGTCTCACGCACAGGCGATGACGGAAGGAAAGAGAGAGGGAGGGAGGGAAGAAGGAAGGAAGAGCCGAAGGGAGGAAAGGAGGCAGACGTCTGGGAGGCGGCGACTGGGTTTGGAAATGCAGTCGGTGGGGTTGGTCCTCAAACACGTCGGTGAATAATTCATTGTCCCATTCGCCAGGCAGCGGTCTGGAAGGGGAGCCATGATGCAACAAAGACAAGGGGCTGAACCCAGAGAGAGACTTTCCACTGGGAAGCCATCTCTAGGATTGCACGCCCTTCCATCCATCGGTATCCCCACTTGATCCTAAGTATCCAGTTGCGCTCAATGAGGACCACAGCCTTTGACCACCTCAGTCTATACCGTTCCTTCAGTTGTTGTCTAAAGGATTTCCTGGTGAATGTTCTTCCCTCTTCTCTGAAGAAGCCTCAGTTCCATAACTTGCCTGAGGACAAAGTGTTTCAGGGCCCGTTCAGTCCTGAAGTTGGTTTATGACATCATTCCTTCAGATACCAAGCAATACGAAAAACAAGGCTGCCTCTGAGCACGTGCAGAGTTGCATCTCGCCTCAGATTCCCGCCAACCTCTATGAACCTTTTACTTTCCGAGTATCTTTTCCCTCCCCCAGGAATTGAGCAATTGCTTCGCCACAGAGCAAATAATGTTGCCTTTTTAGACGACAACTCCCAGAATCCCTCCATCCAGCCTAACCAGTGGATTCTGGGAGTTGTCGTCAAGTGATGTCTCCATGATCTGCTATGAAGTGACTCCAGTCGAAAGTAGGTGTACTCCTAACACTCATATATAAGAAAGTAGGTGTACTCCTAACACTCATATAACACTCTCCAGGTGTTAGGAGTACATATGCGTGCACACACACTTAGATATTCTCACAAACCCTAAAATGTCTAACTATATTGTGAGTTCGGGTCAGATTTGGCTCGGTATCTCTGTCATCTGAAACTCAGCTGAAAGTCAAAGCTAAGGAGGACTTCCTTCTGAGTAAAAAGCGGGACTGCCTGGATGAGGTTACCAAAACAGAGCCATAGACTCCAAAGTCCTCTTCTTTGGTCTACTAGGCACCGGGCCCCCAGAGAAAGGGTCCCTTACAACTCAAAGAGACTTTTTCCCAGACCTGAAGTGAGCCCCACCCACTCTCTTGGCCAGAGTATTCCCACTGCTGCTTGGCCCGAATGGAGAGGGGTCAACAGGCTGGGTGTTGCAAGCAGCAGCACATGCACACAAGGGAAGGGAGTGCCACTCAACAGGGCGAGACTTATTTCTGAGGACAGATGCACCTGCTGAAGTGTTTTCCAATTATGCTCCATTATCCAACAACCAACATTTGCTTCTCTTGTTGCCTTTTTGTTCTGCTTTCTTCAGGGAGATGACGACGACGAAGGAGATAATTTTAAAAGGTCCTGAGAAATACTATTCAGAGACTGTCGGGCAAGTTGTTGCCCCCCAGGCTAGACAGGAACCCGAACTCTTCTATTTATTTATGTTGGCTCACTATCTGACGGGTGGGGATTAGAACAATAGAGCTGGACGACGGCCATCTAGTCCAACTCCAATCTCCCAGGCAGGAAAATACCACCAAAGCCCTCCCAACAGATGGCCATCCAGCTTCGGCTTAAGAGGCTCCGGAGACGGAGCATGAACTCTTCTTGCCGTCAGGAAGTTCTTTCTTCCTTTCAAATGTTTGAAACAGAGCTGTCTGAAAGGATGTCGCAATCAGGCGGGGGCAATCTTGTTTTCTGCTGCTTTAGAAAGCAATGGATTCAAATAGCAGAAGACATAAGGGCTTCCTGAGGGCGAGAACTGTTCGGCAGTGGAATCTGCCTCCTCAGATCGGAGTGTGGCATTTCACGAGTCACTCAGCAGGCGACAGAACCATCCAGGGATCCACACTCCTCCCCCTCCTCCGTGAAGTGGCTGACCACGCTTGGGAATGACCATTCTAGCCAGTGGCGGGGAATCCCACGGCTGAAACCGACTTGATCCCATCCAGAATCACCCGGATAGGGCTGGCCGCTTCCACTTTCGTAGAATCATAGAGTTGGAAGAGACCTCATGGGCCATCCAGTCCAACCCCCTGCCAAGAAGCAGGAATATTGCATTCAAAGCACCCCCGACAGATGGCCATCCAACCTCTGTTTAAAAGCCTCCAAAGAAGGAGCCTCCACCACACTCCGGGGCAGAGAGTTCCACTGCTGAACAGCTCTCACAATCAGGAAGTTCTTATTAATGTTCAGATGGAATCTCCTTTCCCGTACACTTCTGGAAAGACGACGGTTGCCTTCAAGTTCCACCTTTCTTCATCTGAAAAGCAGGAGTGGAAAAGAGGGCCTCTTCCTCCCTCGTCTCCTCGCCTTTTACCCCGGGGAGCCCCGTTCTCCTGCCTCCCTCCCTCCCTCGAGGAATTCTGACCAGCCTGGTGCGTAAAAGCGCACAGAGCGCCTCTCTCCTGCTGGTGTGTTTCTCTCTCTCACTCTCTCTCTCTCTCTCTCTCTCTCACACACACACACACACACACACAGGCACTCTCACACACCCCTAGTAGAAGAGAGGACCCCTTCTTCCCTCGTCTCCGCGTCCCTTCTCTCTCAGGAGCCCCTTTGCCTTGCCTCCGTTGATGAACGCTTCTCTTCCGCTGAGCTTGGCTGGTGCGTAAAAGCGCACAGAGTGCCTCTCTCCTGCTGTTGTGCGCCCCGGTAAGTGGTCCCCTTCCCTCCCTCTCTCTCACACACAGACAGACAGACACTCTCACACCCCCTAGTAGAAGAGATGACCCCTTCCTCCCTTGTCTCCGCGTCGTCCCTTTTCTCTCAGGAACCCCTTTCGCCTAGCCTCCGTCGATGAATGCTTCTCCCCCGCTGGTGCGTAAAAACGCCCAGAGCTCCTCTTTCCTGCTGCTGTGCGCCCTGTCGAGTTTCTCTCTCTCACACACACACATACACTCTCACACACCCTAGTAGAAAAGAGGACCCCTTCTTCTTTCGTCTCCACGTCCCTTCTCTCTCAGGAGCCCCCTTTGCCTTGCCTCCGTCGATGAATGCTTCTTCCCTGCTGATCTTGGCTGGTGCGTAAAAGCGCACAGAACGCCAATCTCCTGCTGCTCTGCGCCCCGGTGAGTCTCTCTCTCACACACATGTACACACACACACACACACAGACAGACACTCTCACTAACCCTAGAAGAGAGGACCCCCTCCTCCCTTGTCTCCGCATCCCTTTTCCTTCAGGAGCCCCCTTTGCCTTCGTCGATGAATGCTTCTCCCCCACTGGTGCGTAAAAGCGCACCGAGCGCCTCTCTCCTGCTGCTGTGCGCCCCGCGAGTTTCTCTCTCTCACACTCACTGAGACACTCTCACACACCCCAGCGGAAGAGAGGACCCCTTTCTCCCTCGTTTCCACGTCCTTCCTCTCTCAGGAGCCCCCTTTGCCTTGCTTTCGTCGATGAATGCGTCTCTCCCACTGGTGCGTAAAAGCGCACAGAGCTCCTCTCTCCTGCTGCTGTGCGCCCCTCACACTCACACACTCGCTCACACACAGAGAGACACTCTCAAAAACTCCAGCGGAAGAGAGGACCCCTTTCCCCTTCGTCCCCACGTCCTTCCTCTTTGCCATGCCTCCCTCGAGGAATTCTGACCAGTCTCTGATCTTGGCTGGTGCGTAAAAGCGCACAGAGCGCCTCTCTCCTGCTGCTGTGCGCCGCGGTGAGTTTCTCTCATTCTCTCTCTCACACACACGCACACAGACACTGTCACACACCCTAGTGGAAGAGAAGACCCCTTCCTCAATCGTCTCCGCGCCCCTTCTCTCTCAGGAGCCCCCTTTGCCTTGCCTCCGTCGATGAATGCTTCTCCCCCGCTGAGCTTGGCTGGTGCGTAAAAGCGCACAGAGCGCATCTCTCCTCGTTGCCTCCTGCGCCTCCTTCCGCGGCTGCCCGGGGCTGACCCTCGCCTTTCCGACGCCCTCTTCTCCTTCTCCTCCTCCCTGCGGGGGTCTTGCAAGGCGCCCTCCCGGAGGCGCGGAAGGGCTGGCGAGGCGAGCCTCCTCCTCTGGGCTCCAGGCATGCAGGGAGCGCCGTGAGATCACCCGGGTTATAAATATCTCCGTGCCTCCGCCGCCACTGCCTCCTCCGCCGCCGCCGCCGCCGCCGCGCTCCCCGGCCTCCTTCCCCCTCCAACGGGTTGACGATGCCTTCCTCCCGAAGCCGCCCCGGGGACAGGAGCCTCCCGCGCCTCCGCCGCCACCGCCACCGCCCCCGCCGCCTCCGCAAGATGCCCGGCGCGTCCCTCCCGCTGGAAGGATGAGCCCGTCCCTCTGCCTCCTCTGCCTTCTCCTCTTCCTCAGCCACCTGATCCTCGCCGCTCGGGCGCAACCGGAGACGCCAGCGCCGCGCAGGGCGCCAAGGCTCAGGAGCAAAGGGCGCAACGCCACGGCGGGGGCCTCCTCTCCTTCCTCCTTGGCCGCCCCTTCCTCTTATTCCTCCCGCTCCGGGGAAGTTGCGGGCAGCGGCTCCGAAAGGGGCAGCTTCCAGTGGAGCCCCTCCGGGCGCAGGACGGGGAGCCTCTACTGCAGGGTGGGCATCGGTTTCCACCTCCAAATCCACCCCGATGGGCAGGTCAACGGCTCCCATCAAGGCAGCCTGCTAAGTAAGTGCTTTGGGCGCTTGCAGTGGGGAGGGGGGGGGGAGGCTTCTCCTGCCTTGGCAGCCAGGGCACGCGTGGCTGGAAACACGACTTCTTCTCTCACCCGCAGCACTTCTCTTGACAAGACTCGGCTCTTAGCTTCAAGGGTGGAAGGAATAATGGCAGCCAGCTCCTCAACAGTTCTAACAGGAATGGGTCACAAAAGAGAGGTTTTGTTTCGGACAGGGCACAAGCTGGAGCCATATAGCTCAGGCATGGGCAAACTTGAGTCCTCCAGGTGTTTTGGACTTCATTTCCCACAGTTCCTAACAGCCTCAGGCCCTGAGTTGTTGTGGGTTTTCTGGGCTTTATGGACATGTTCCAGAAGCATTCTCTCCTGACGTTTCACCTGCATCTATGGCACTCATCCTTAGAGGTTGTGAGATCTGTTTGAAACTAGGAAAAACTATTTATATTTATTTATTTACCACATTTTATATTCTACCCTTCTCCCCACAAAGGTGTGTGTGTGTGTATGGAGCCCTCGGTGGTGCAGTGGGTTAAAGCACTGCTGAACTTGTTTACTGAAAAGTCGCAGGTTCAAATCCGGGGAGCGTCGTGAGCACCCGCTGTTAGCCCCAGCTTCTGCCAACCTAGCAGTTCGAAAACATTCAAATGTGAGTAGATCAATAGGTACTACTCCACTCCGGTGGGAAGGTAATAGTGCTCCATGCAGTCATGCTGCCCACATGACCTTGGAGGTGTCTATGGATAACTCTAGCTCTTCAGCTTAGAAATGGGGATGAGCACCACACCCCAGACTCAGACAGGACTGGACTTAATATCAGGGGAAAACCTTTGCCACACGCAGACACAGATAGATAGAGGTACATAGAGTTTATATATCTGTGTAATGTCCAGGGTGGGAGAAAGAAGTCTTGATTGTTTGAGGTAGGTGTGAATGTTTCAACTGGGCATCTTGATTAGCATTTAATGGCTTCTTAAATGGAAAGGGCCTGAGGCTGTTAGGAATTGTGGGAGTTGAAGTCCAAAACACCTGGAGGGCTAAAGTGTGCCCATGTTTTATATAGCTAGTAGAAAGCCCAAAACTTCCTGAGCCAAAAAGTCTGTTTTGGGGTAGAGAATGTGTATTCTTCTTAGTCCTTAGTCTTAGCATCTTGCTTGAGCTCACCAACAATGCAATTGTGAATGTAGAAAATGGCTAGAATAAAGAGTTTTGGGTCGAAGAAGAAGAAGAAGAAAGAAATGTCTTTTCTCACTCTCATACTTTTCTCTCATACTTCCTACTTTCTTTCTTTCTTTCTTTCTTTCTTTCTTTCTTTCTTTCTTTCTTTCTTTCTTTCTTTCTCTCTTGGCCTTGCAGCCTTGCAGGAATAATGCCAGGCTGCTCCTAAACATTTCCAATAGGAATGGGTCACAAATGAGAGGTTTTGTTTCTGACAGGGTGCAGGCTGGAGCCATATAGCTCAGGCATGGGGAAACTTCCGCCTTCCAGGTGTTTTGGACCTCAATTCCCACAATTTGTAACAGTCTACTGACAGTTAGGAATTGTGGGAGTTGAAGCCCAAAGCATCTGGAGGGCCAAAGTTTGCCCACACCTAGTAGAAGGCCTGAGAATTCAGTTTTCTGAGCCAAAAAGTATGCTTTTGGGAAGAGATTGTGTATTCTTCAAAGCCTTTCCCCACATGTTAACACCTTATTTGAGCTACCCAATCATGTAATTGTGAATGTAGAAAATGGCCCGAGTAAACAGTTTTATTGGAAAATAAGGAAAAAGAATGCCTACAACACAAAACATACCTATAACTTGTAACAGAATACCTTAGATTTTAATTCTCCATAACTATTGTTTATTTTTTTGTCTTTTCTCACTCTCACACATTTCTCTCTCACTTCCTATCTTCTTTCTTTTCTCTCTCTCTCTCTCTCTCTCTTGGACTTGCAGCCTCCTTCCCAGCTTTCACACCATCCTTGTCCTATTGCAAATGCTGTGTGTGTGTGTACTTGCTTATATCTGAGCAAACATAACAAAAAGTTTCATGACATCTCAAAGTCTTAACAAGTTTTATCTTATAAAGCATGTCCCACTTTAGCTTGAAGTGAGTGGTGATATGTGAAACCTTGTATCGTAGATCCATTATCTGTTGGCACAGTGGGTTAAAGCACTGACCTGCTGCACTTGCTGACCTAAGGTCGGAGGTTCGAATTTGGGGAGCGGGATGAGCTCCTGCTGTTAGCCCCAGCTTCTGCCAACCTAGCAGTTCGAAAACATGCAAATGTGAGTAGATCAATAGGTACCACTCCAGTCCGGTGGGAAGGTAATGGTGCTCCATACAGTCATGTTGGCCACATGATGGGTCTTCGGCTTAGAAATGGAGATGAGCACCAACCCCCAGAGTCAGACATGACTAGACTTAAAGACAAAGGAAACCTTTACCCTTTGTACAGAAACAGACCAACATGGGTATCCCATTCTCCTCTGCTGTCTGTGGAATGGTAATGAGCACAGTGGGAGATAGTGTCAAGATGGGACTGGAGCTGTTTGTGATTACAAAGTAATACATATAACAGTATGAGACTGCAGAACAATCCTTGGGGAATAGAAATGTTTTTCCTTTTGGCCAATCAGAGCTCTCAGATAATAACTAAACATTTCAAATGCAAATTAGTGAGAGCTTGGTAATGAGGATGATGGTAAAGAGCATCTGAAACAGTATGACTGACAAGGGCTAGTTCATGTAATCAGCAAAGTACCGTGGACTGTGTCACTTTAGGAGGGAGAGTGAAAAATCACATATTCATTTGTTGGTTTCTGTTTCACCTCCCACCACACAAGGGCTCTTGTGGTGATCAACAAATAAAAACCAATTAAAACCAAACAAAGATAAAATATTGTAAAAACACACAATTAAAATACTCTTTACACACCCCTAAAAGCTAAAAACAATCCTACAATCCAGTTTTGAAACTGGAAGTTGATAAATAGTGTCAAACATTGACTGCCACTCGGAACAGCACTGTTTTGGCTGTTTGCCGGAAGCTTAGAAGTGATGGGCAGCCTAACTTCCTTGAATGCGGAGTTCCACTGTTGGGACACTTCTACAGAAACATAAAACATTGTTAGGTAAAGGTAAAGGTTTCCCCTGACATGAAGTCTAGTCATGTCCGTCTCTGAGGAGTGGTGCTCATCTCCATTTCTAAGCTGAAGAGCCGGAATTGTCCATAGATACTTCCAAGGTCATGTAGCCAGCATGACTGCATGGAGCACTTTTATTTTCCCGCAGAAGTGGTACCTATTGATCTACTCACACTTGCATGCACCAAACTGCTAGGTTGGCAGAAGCTGGGGCTAACAGCTTACCCGCTCCCTGGATTCGAACTACCAACATTTAGGTCAGCAAGTTCAGCAGTACAATGGTTTAACCCACTGTGCCACCAGGGCAAATGTTGTTATGTGTATCCATTAACCTAAGTTCATGAAGTTTAGGAGATGCAAAAGGGCCTCCTCTGGAGAGCTCAAATTTCTATCAGACTCACGAAGGAAGAGTCTGTCTTTCAAATAACCCTGGCCACAAGTCATTTAGGGCTTTGGAGGTCAACACCAGGAGTTTTGAGTAGGGCTTGGAATCACATTAGAAGCCATTATTGTTCTTGTAGGACCATGTTATATAGTCTTTAAAATGCATACTTGACACTAGTCCAGCATTTTGCACTAGCTACAGCTTTCAAACATTTTTCACAGGCAGCTACGCACAGGATGTCTTGCAGTAGTCTGTTTGAGAAGTAGCTAAGGCATAAACTGTAACAAGAATAGCCTTCCCTAAGCAAGGGTACAGTGAGTAAAGGCACTCCTGGCTACTGCAACAACCTGGCTTTCCAAGAGCAGGATTAGGTCCAGGAGCACCTCAATACAAAATGATCTTCCCAAGGGAGAGCAACTCCATGCAGAACAGGCTGCAATCCCAGGTTGGTTTTCTTGTTGGCCAACAGCACTTCCATCTTGACTGGGTTAAGCCCCAGTTAATGGATGGTATTAGCACACCGAGGATACCCAAACTCAAAGCTTTTCATTGTGGAGGATGAAAAGCATAGAGGACAGTATTGACCCTATGGAACCCAAAGGCTAATGGTCAAAAGACTGAGCGGCAGTCCCTTGCACCAGACTCTGGAAAGATAAGAAACTCTTCAAAACAATGCTCCTAAGTCCTGTAACAGCCAGGTGATACTATGATTGCTGGTATCACATGTATTGTTGGAGTCATTCACACCCAGAATGGAGTGTTGTGTGGTTTCTGGGCTGTATGGCCATGTTCTAGCAGCATTTTCTCCTGATGTTTCACCTTTATCTGGGGCTGGATTATCTGAAGATGCCAGCCACAGGCACAGGCAAAACATCAGGATAAAATGCTCCTCCTAGGGCACAACCATACAACCTGGAAACCACACAACACTCTGATAGTACCCTGTGCTGCTGAAAAATAGAGGAGGACCAATAGTAGCCTTGTTGAACTTGTTCTTTGTATAGTTAAACTTGTGAGGCAGGGGGAAGAATTGTAAGCAAAGTCCTTGATCCACCTCCACCCCCATGTGCCAAAGCTAAGTATGGTGTAGTAGTTTGAGTGCTGAGCTGTTCAACTCAACCACTTATTCATCAGTGACCTTGTATCAGTTGCTTTCTTATAGCTTGTCCTACCTCACATTGTTGGTGTGAAAATAAAGGGTGGAGAAGAGTTACAGATGCTGCCTTGAGTTCACTGGAAGGGAAGGCAGGGCATGAGTGGAACTACCAAATGTAGTATGGCCCCCATAACTACATTTTTACATATTCCCATCTGACAAAATATATCCTTTCTAGGTATTTCCTAGGTCTTCAAGTATGATTCTATGGTTAACTTCCAGTGGAGGTTGTTCATTCAGTACCATTACCTGTGCTTTTACAAATCTATACAGAGTCCCAGAAGATATCCCCCCACATGTACATAATGTACATCAATATGCAGTTG